CTGCTCAGCTGCTCACTAATACATTGTTATGTAGCTTACATACAGTGGGGGGCTCAGTCTCTCAGTTCAACCCCTGTGCTCTACATGGCTCCTGGCAGATGGCCAGCATTCACTCACGCATTCTTCCTGAGCAAATAAATACGGTCACAGATTCCGAGAAAGACCACTGACGACTTCTTCACCTCGACGATCCCCCCAGGGGAAGGAGATGGTAGGAAAAGCTGGTGAGTCACTTATAAAACGAGTCTCATTTCTTACGACACTGAGCAGCAGCAGGGCACAGGAACGCACCGATACAGATGATTAACTGACGGCTTCATCCTGCAAGGCTTTTTATGGGACCTTCTCCACTGAGGGGTGAAATAAACATCCTGGCCAACATGGTGAAACCCTGTCTCTACTAAAAATACAAAAATTAGCTGGGCATGGTGGCGTGTGCCTGTAGTCCCAGATACTTGGGAGGCTGTTGCAGGAGAATTGCTTGAACCCGAGAGGCGGAGGTTGCAGTGAGCCGAGATTGTGCCACTGCACTCCAGCCTGGCAACAGAGCAAGACTCTGTCTCACAAAAAAAAAAAAAAAATCAAAAAGAAACAAGGCATGTCATAGACAGTGACTTAATAGGTTACTTTGTGTGCAGGTGGGGGTAGGGGATTGGAAAGTTTCTGTGATGTCACAGCTGAGACATTTAAACACAGAGGGACAGGTGTTCCCGCCAGTGAGAACAGCAAGCACCAAGGCCCTATTGTGAGCCCGGAATGAAGGCACAGAAAGGAGGTGGGTGTGGCCCATGCATAGTGGTCAAGGGAGAGAGGGGAGACAGACTGGGATGACAGCCATGGTGACTGCTTAGAGCAAGCTGCTCTCTCATTCTTGGGCCTCCTGGGCAGATCTTCCTCTTGGCATCTCTAAGAGTTGTTAAGTGGCAGGCCACTTACATACAGTGGCGTCACAGCTGAGACTTAACCCACAGAGGGACAGGTGCCCTGCCAGTGAAACAGCAAGACACCCAGGCCATTGTGAGCCTCCGAATGAAGGGGCACGAAAGAGGCGTTGGTGGGCCCATGCCATATGGTCAAGGGAGGAGACGGGAGCAGACCTGGGATCGACCAGATGGTGACTGCTTGAGCAAGCTGCTCTCTTCATTCTTGGGCCTACCTGGGCACGATCTTCCGCTCTGGCATCTCTAGATATTTGGCTGTTAAGTGGCATGCCACTTACATACATGGGGGGCTCAGTCTCTCAGTTTCACACCCTGATTGCTCTACATGGCTCCCTGGCAGATGGCCAGCATGTCACCCACGCAGTCTCTCCTGAGCAAAATATCACGGTCCACAATTCCGAGAAAGACCCACTGACGACCTTCTTCACCATCGACATCCCCCAGGGGAAGGGAGATGGTAGGAAAAAGCTGGTGAGTCACTATAAAACGAATCTCCATTTCTTACGACACCTGAGCACCAGCAGGAGCAGGAACGAACCGATACAAATGATTAACCTGACGGCTTCATCCGCAAGGCTTTTAAGGGACCTTCTCCACTGAGGGGTGAAATAAACAGGCACGAGAACAGTTTCCCATACGTTTGAAAACGTGCCGAAC